CTGCTGCCTCCCGCGCTTTGCGCTTCGACTCCGCTATCCGCAGATGCATCGGTTGTCGCGGCTCACGCGTGGCCGTCCGAGCCGGCGGCGTGACCGGTGATGCCGGGTTGGGATGCTGCTGCCGCTGTTGTTGGTGCCGAGCTGCCCCCCTCGTGTTGAGACCGGCGTTGTGCGAGTTTGCAGCATACCGCGCTCGGGACCTGGGGACTAGATCAAACTCGTCGTCTGCATCCCCATCATCGCTAGCCTCATGNGCATACCGCGCTCGGGACCTGGGGACTAGATCAAACTCGTCGTCTGAATCCCCATCATCGCTAGCCTCATTTGGGTCGATGTCAGCCCCGCTGTCCTCCATGCCAGCGTACAAAGCAAGTGTGGACTGCTGCACGCGGGAGACAGGCGCCAATGTAGAAGCAGGAATGCCAACTGGCGCTGCCGGTAGCGCAACCGCAAGCGCTACCAACAACGCCGCCCCTTTAGACAAGGCAGACCACGCGGGGTGTAGATGCCTCCCCATGAGCTCTCGGCGCACCTCCTCGTGGTTTACGTGTGGCGTGTGTGTGGCGTGCCCTCGCTCTGGCTAGCTGTGCTGTACAACTAACTCCTTTGCGTGCGGGTTCGGGGTGGTTTCCTATCCTCCCCTACACGACTAGACCGTCTGTTCAGCTCGATAAAAAAAAAAAAGGATAAAATGATCAATCAATGATCACTCAGACCGGCCGACGACTCCAAAGGGTTAACTAATAACAGATACACTCTCGGCTCGTAGCCAATCCCAGTGGATCTGATAGGGTGTAGTGATTTCCGGGGACGGACCCCTCCTCGCCATAAGATGCTGCTAGTAGCCGACAGTGGTGCCTCGAAAGCGATCCACTAGGCCACTAGGATTCGAACGTTATACCATTAGACTAGTCAGCGCTGACTTATCCAATGGTTTTAACATTTGACGATAAAGGATTCACGCACAAACCCGATTGGTCACTTTCCCAAGCACCATTAAGTTCTTTTCAGGCAGCGTCTGGCGAGGGGTTCGTCTCCGGAAATCTCTACTCACGAACCCAAAAATGTGATCCAGCGGGGTGCAAATGAGCTCTGAGCATATATTTTGTAAGATAAAGTTACACCACTAGACTAGACTAGTCAGCGCTGACTAGTCCAATGGTTTAACGTTTGACGATAAGGATGACTTTGCATGTAGTCAAATGGTCAGCCTTCATGCTCCGAAGGATACCCTCACGTGTTCAAATACCGGCTGGATCACTATTATTCTGTACAAAAAATGCACCTAGAACTATCAGCGTCGTCTGGCGATGGGTCCGTCCCCGGAGATCTTCGCTCTCAAAAGCCGTAGACCCAAGTGATCCAGCATGGGCTGAGCGTATGTCTTCTATCGCCAAATGTTAAACCATTAGAATGGTCAGCGCTGACTAGTCTAGTGGTGTAACATTATCTTACATAGCACATCCATGGTAGCACTTTCAAGCAAGACACCCCTTGGGTCATGATAACCCTCTGGATCCATGGCCACAAAAGAGGCTGTCAGTCTCAGGTTCCGTTGCGACCAACCAAATCGTATCAGGATTCACTTCTTCACCCTTGTCCGACGCCACAACATGCGGGAGGTTTATCATATCTCCCACGACAACCGGTTGTTATCGGGAAGACCAAACACCGGAGGGGGAGGGCGCTTTCGTGGCAGCCGCCGCCGCCGCGGCCGGAAATGGCAGCATGGATAAAACGCCATCAGTCGACACAGAGCCTATGCGTGCGGTCCGCGCGAAAACTGGACCGTTTTGCTGATCTCATCGCCGGAAGAGCCATTCAAACTGGACGGGTCTTCCTAGAGTCCTTCACGTCGTTGAACCGTCTCACGCCATCGTCTTCCGAGTATGGAACACGGACGAAACCCTTCGTAAGTCGGGAGAAGCTACGGCGAAGACGGGACGCTAGAACTTGGACTGCTTAGACGGCAGCAATCTTCCGAGGGATACATCGCGGGTTTCACTCGCCGGGAAAGCACTGCCCGACATATTGTCGCCAACGTCGCATAAGGGCGTCCTGTGAAACACAATACACACACAAGAACGGGAGGGAGCCGTGGGGGGCAATCCAGGGCGACCCGATCGATGCCCTGATCGTAGTTCGCCGATTCCAGAAACTGGGCCTGCACCGCACAATCTCACGGCACATATGGTCGGTCGGCCACCAAAGGGTTCACGATTCGGGTGCTGGCGTGGTCCGGCGTATTGTTTGTCATGCTTGACATCACACGCACGTCCGACGATGGAATGCCAGCCCCGCTATGCCCGACAAAGAAAAGAAAGAAACCTTCGTGCGACCGCGGATTGGAGTTCCCATACGGCAGAAATGCTGTGCGAGGTGTGAGCGCTGTGTACACGTGATTGAAAAAAAGTGTCTTGTTTCGTGATGTGTTAGTCAGCCCAGAGCACGGGCACACTAAGAATGGAACAGCGCAACGGCATGTTCTGTTATCCAGATTCGCCGCGTCCTTCTAACGAGTCCGCTGTATCATCCGCAACGTTCAAGCGATGGGAGACCCTCGGTATAGCTACGAGGTGTCCTAAGGGTAAGTGTCGAACAGGGAGAACGATGGTGACATTCTTAATTGATCTCAATTTTACCAAACTGCTGGATTCTCCACGGTGCCATCTAAACGCCTGCAACCGGGGTCGACCACTGGCTCAACGATGAAAGCCTCAAGGCCGACGTGTGAGATTTCGCACCACCACCCGACTATGCGAGCCACCTTTCATCGCCACGGCACAACAATTCTTCCAGCAGGAACACAACGCCACTGCTGTACTCGTTGAACAGCCAAGGCTTGAAACAGCCACGGGTCAACTGTCTCTTCGTCGCGTCAACATCGCTGACATTTCCAACCATTGGCCATTAGGATCCCCTCGATGCCGTCCACGTGCGCCAGTCCCACGACAGCGACGGTCACCTGTTTGCCATCGAGGCCCATGAGGTTTACGGCCATTACCTGCACGAAAAGGGGGCGCGTTTGGCGACAATGTTTCGTTACGTCTTCGCGCGCAACACACGAGCGAGTGCACCACATCAGCGGTAAATCAAGCATCGAAACGGTGAAGGAGACGAGTAATGTGGGCGAGACGGGTCCACACGACATGCTAGACCTAGGCCGTACGAAAAAAAAAATGCGGGATAAAGACAAGAACCGTTCCCGTAACACCCGCAAAGCCCGTGTAACCTCGACAATGTATACAGGTGCAGCCCCAGGCAAATAGAGTCACGGAAGCCATTTTCGGCCCATCTACCTGTGAGCGCCTACAGATTCGCACGTGTGACATTGATCTTGCCTGTCCCTAGAAAACGATATTACATGGCCGGCTGCCCCGAGTTTGTCACGTCGCCGGCTCGTGAACCTTTTTGCAACATTTTCTCGACTTCGAGATCCAGCAACGTGGCGACTTTTCGCATCTCGTACCGCACGCCTTCTACAACCTCTCCGAATACGCTCGAGGGAAGGAACTGCAATGTCCTGCCCGCACTAAAACCGCAGGCACATGCCGACGAAGAACGGTGCCGTTTCCCGCCTGATTTGAGCCACTAAGACAGACGGCAAGCCAGTCGGGTATGTTTCACCTTCAGGCGAGGGCAATAGATGAGAAATCAAACCCCGAAATTCCGGACGCATAACAATTGTGAGGGGTGATTTAGTCCGGCCACTTGCTATTCTTGCACCAGATTCGGCGGTGTATAGACCGACCGACGAAAATCACAACAAGAGATAAAGCGCACCTTATCTCTCTCGCCGATCATGGCGTTGTACAGCTCAGGAGCCTCCTCCTTGTAGAAGCCGATCACCTTCCGCATCGTCTCGCGGTTCTTCAGGATCTGCCCAATGATTTGAATAGCGAAAGAGGGGCCATGAGGAAATCAATTGGACTAGGTTTGGCTGACCCTGTCCGTCGCGCTTGCTCGCTTGAAACAAAGCACATAGGTCTATCGCCACAGTCCAGTGAACGGTCAGACACGGATGTCGCCTACCCCCACGGACCTGTCGTTTGGCAGTAGAAAACTGACGCAAGCGGCGTGTGCTTCGGCGGCAACTGGTCTAGGCATTCGCGCAAAGGTGACAGACAACGCACACACTTAGTGTTTGTACGGAGTTGAATCGGGCTGACCGGGTGAAGTCTGCCCATCACGTCACGTTGAGAAAAACGAAAAACAAGAAACGACGACTTCGACCTAAAACAGGTGCCATGTGGAAATGTATGGTGTTGGGTCGGCGAACAACACGGGATTTCGTCCAGCTCATCAAGGGGGCATCCCCCATAGCTCACATCAAGACTAGAGTTGATCGATTCGACGCTGGAGCCATCCAGCGCCTCGAGGCCCAACCCCGTTTCCATCTGGCCCGACTGTGAGATCTTTTGCAGGTCAATTTTTCTCAGCGCCTCCGACAGTCGGCGAAGAGTGATCTGCGGCATTCGCACGCCGAGATGAGTCACACGTTGACACAATGGTAAGGGGCACGGGCGGGACACCGAGATAGTGATATTAGCTCCACAGCGGCGGGGACTTCCAAAGCCAGGAGAAGGCTGGAAGCGTCGCGCACGCCGCATATTCCACGACACACCTTACATAATCACAGCCGGCGCGCCTTGGAAATTGTCTCCGAGCCAAACTCCGTAGCTAATCTTGGACTCACGTTTGGAAAAGTCCTGTTGATAGACTCAAGACTGGTTGGTTGCATATCGTGTGACAAATTCCGTCCGGCGTGTCCCCTTTTCCACAGAATCGAAGAGCTGGAGAGTCGGCATAAGCACGCGTTGTTGCTGTTACCATGCACGTCTTGGCATCTACCCCTGTACGTTTTCTACATCCAACGTGATAGTACCGGCCCTATTTCCTCGTCCATTGACCGGGTTCTTGGCCTTCGCCGACCGATGCGGTACCGTTCAAGCCGTTCACAGATGACCATTTCAGTGGAAACAGCCAAAAACATGTCGGCATCCACCGCAGCGGCCCCACTTAGAGAGAAGTTGGTCCCGATGACCCACCCACGGCGATATGAATAAATGCATCGGGACAAAACCGCATGAGTCCATGCTATTGCTACTCCGCTAGTGATACGCAGCCTCGCGCCCGTAGGGGCTGTTTCCTGGGCAGGCAAGAAAAGAAACGCCTGCTTGCGTGCTGTGACAAACCCCTTGGCCGGAACCGAGTGAAATCGCTCGATTCCTATTTGCTATTTCTCGGAGACTTGGTACGAAACCGTCCGAGGACGGACTTTTTCCAACTCAAACCGCATATATTGGATGAGTTAAGGCGTGACTATTTGACACCGCAGTGCGTTGTTTGAGTAACGAAAAAGAAAGCCGATTCAGGGCGCATAATACACGTCAAGAAAATATCTGATGATTGGATCGAACGGGAATTTGGACGAACATCATGGCCCGGTACGTCATCGAACCCTCCGCCCCAACAAGACAAAGGACAGACCGTGAAGAGACCCGAACCAAGCGCCTCCGTCCTCACATGCCGTTTTTGCAAAAAAGGGTGTCAGCACCAACCGACACAAGAGCTGAAGCCGAGCAGCACATACCATCTTGGAAGGTCCGGGAGTAATGTCACTTCACGTTCACTGCACACACGCGCATACACACCCGAACATCCCTATCCCCGAGAAGGAGCTTCGCGCCGCAGGCTCTGGCTTCGTTGATGGCAATGGTGAATTCCTGTCCAGACGACAGCCCCTTTTGGTCTGATTCGATTGGGTCGGCAAGAGCGGTGAGCACGGTTCGTCACGGAACGGTAGTAGCAGCAGCCCGGGTGCACCATAGCCACGACCTGGCGTTAGCAGAACACCAGCAACCCAGCGTCTTGACACAAGCCTTGCTCATCGCAACAAGTACAACGGCCACCCATGGACCAAAGGAGTCGCGTGGGTCAACACGCCGCAATCGCTTGCAACTATTTAGTCGGGTGCGAACAGGAAGACCTGGCACGCGTTTCAGATTTGATCGATTGCAGTACCCGTGCTGGTGTAACGGGCGATTGGCCCGTCGGTCGCGCTCGGGAGAGCTACAATTCGACGACAACCACAAACCCTCTACACCGTCCGAACAACCGTGACCGTACCCTGGCTCACACCATGCACGGGCGTCAGCATAGCGCACGACACCAATACGACCAGTACCCGTGCAGACGCCGAAGTACGTTTCACATCGAGATACTTCCTGGAATGTTCAAACCAATGGCAAAAGCGTTGTTGACTATCCTTCCTGTGTGCCTCCTCTCGAGGAGGGGGAGACCGAATCACTCACCCATGGACTCGTACATCTTGGAGATGGCCTTCCCCAACGCCGCGGCGAAAAAATCTGTTATTCTGTCGTTGACAGGCACCTTAGGGTCGAGCAGCTGCTTGAAGAACGCGCCGAAAAAAGGGTTTCTTGTTCTCTCGGCGGGGGGCGCTATCTCCTTGCCGGTACCATCAGCCAGAGTCTTTTCTCCCTATGGAAGACGAACGTGCAAAAACAGAAAGACGAGGTCGGTCGCACACAAAGAAAAAATATTGGGAAGTGACTATACCACCGGGGTGGGGAGGAAGAAGATCGAGCGACAAGATGCCCCTGTCCACGCGTTTCCTACCGAACCCAAAAGGACGCAGCGAGACGGGACTTTCCCGGTCTTGCGGAAGCTTGAAACACTTCATTCAGCTGCAGCGCCGACGCATACAACGAACAACAACGGAGACGGCAGTCTAGAAGTGGGTGTCACCTGCTTTGACGGCTTCATGAAGCTGCCGACCCTCTGTGCGTCGAGCTCAACCATCACGACCTGAGGCTTGATTTGTCGGATCACATTCTCTACCAGCTGCTCAAGACCGAGAGATTTGCAGAACACACATGAAAAAAGCAGGGGGGGAGCAGAAGCAATTCAGAGCGTAGCTATCGAATGTTGAATTGCCCGAGCGCAACTCCTCATTCGATTTGTGCAGTATGTCGTCCATCCTTGTACGGCTTGGGTCAGCTCCGTCGACAAAAAAGGAACGACAACGATGTCATTCAGCATAGGTTGCAGCAGCGCTAGGGGGTGAAGACGGCACAAAAAAAATCATGTGAGTCCCTCAATAAGTAGTCGAATCGGTGCTTCTCTTCCTTCCGAAGAAGGACATATCACGGATACATCCAGGTTGCGAAAACGCTACCATGCCTTTCCCAGCGGCGGAGCTGGAAAGGTGGGCATCAGCACGGTCTCCATGAACCAGATGGTTGTCTACCTCTTCAGTAGGGATGTTGAAAGCTGCACAAGTTTAAACACACAACAAGGAAGTCAGGGTTTGCTTGAACTCCGGGCAATTCCATCCTCAGACCAATTTACTACCCAGGAGCAGAGGGGCTTCGACGACGAACGTGAGCAAAAACGGCATTCATGTTGACCTCCCGCTAAGCATTGGACCGCCTGCCCGTTGGCGCCGCCCGGAGAATAACAGCCGAAGGGGTCGACAGGACCGATCAATATCCTTATGTAGCCAACGAAGTATTACCCCCGTTGATCAGAGGCACGCTTCCAACTTACTCACGGTTGCGCTGGAGTTCGATATGTGAGCCGTCCCCACGAGCCAAACCTCGGACTGCTTGGTCGGGTTGTAGAGGTACGACACCGCGTCGTCGCACAAGAACGTGGGCGATCGCTTTGCCCCCGGCCGCCTCCCCACCGCCGTACCCGCCGCCGCCGCCTGTTGCGGGCTCGCCGTGAGCGCAGACGCCGAGGCTAACGAGGCGAGCGCGCCACCTATCGTTCGAAGGAGCGCTCTGTAGTCGCAATACGTTGAGCCGCCCCGTCACCGTGCAAGCATATCCGGCAAGGGTGGGGTGCATCTCGTCAAAATCGGTAACCCGTTGCTTGGACGTAAACGATGTGGCACCCACCGGTCATTGTAGTACATACATGCCGCAAATACGCGTGGCAGTTGCCGGTAACAGGAGGATTCAGGCTGCCCGAGCGCGGAGGCATTTCAACGACGGCGTCGACAAAGTAACCTAGGCGTTGGATTCCGCAATAATTCCTCTTGTTCTTCCTGGACGTTTATCATTTGTTGCTTCATCTCTGTAGGGCATGTACGACGTACTCTGAATTATCTTTTGACTGCTGAAACGGATTTTTATTTTTTTCTGTTGGTTTATTGAGCTCCGCTGGGGTTCGAGGAAATCAATTTGTCAGCTGTGTCAGCTGTTCGAGCTTGAGAAACGCCACCACTGGCAGCTGGCAGCCAGCTATTGGTTGGTCCTTCTGCCTGCTTTTATGTTTTGCTCGCTTCACCCCATGACACCACTGTTATTCTTCAGCCCACTCATCAGGAGGAATCAGTTGTGAACAGAACAGATTTTATCATTATCCATGATAAGAGTCTAGAACACATTCGTCATGTATTAATATGTGATCTGACCTACCTGTGTTTCTAATTATCCTCGAGCAGATGCAATAGTCTGGGTACAGCTGTGCCGTCACTCCCGCAAAGAGCAGAAGCATGTTGTGGTATTGGTCTACAGCAGTAATCCGGAGACCTGAGCATTGCTTGGAAAGAGTATTCGAGGTCCTTTATGAAAGTACGGAGTATAAGGTGGGTCGTAGTCAGCCAGTTACTTCGACCGATTTATGCCAAAGAAACACACAACATACCAGCAGCACAGCGGCCGTTCCGGCTACATGTTGGCGGCCGGTGGACGTCACTGCTGGGCAAGCTTGTCAAAACTGCAATGCGTGAGACAACGCAGATGCTTGAATGTACATCCGCTGTAGACTCAAGAAGTGCAGCAAGTAGCGCACACAGGACATCATCGAAATACGAAGAGACTCCCCGACATACCGACGGTCAAGTTGTGTGTTTTCCAGCTCCATCAACAAGCCTGGGTGCTTGGGGTTTCCTGTCGCCGCGGTGGTGGTGCCTTCTTCAGGATTTCTGACAGACCCAACATGCCAGGTGCTGCCCGACGCCGATGAGAGCGACAAGCTTGGCGGCGGTACAACAAAAGACTCTGCCAGCAGCGATGCGAAGGGAAGTGCGAGCGACAACGTCCGCAGCACCATGATGATCGCGGAGCTGTGTGCCTCTCGACTACTGCTGTAGTCTCGACGTATCGACGCAACAGCAGCGAAGATGCGGCGAGATTGCGTGTTGGGGGTTCCGCACCTTCATGGTGTGTACATTCGTGTCGCGGCCAGGGGCGAGACGCTGAGACATCAGACAGCTAAATGCAGCCAGTAGATGGGGGTGCGTGGGCTGAGCTCGTACGTAACGGGATGCCAGAGGGCGTGCTCTGAGCATGTGGACCTCAACTACGGTGGTTCCGATCGGGACACAACTTCAGCAGCAGATGTGAGGAGGCTTGTTTCACATGGACAAAATGCGGCGAAACCCATTTCGTATTGATATGTCTTGACAGCCAACTGCCAACAGTCCTGTACAAGCACATGACCCAACCCGTTTATCGCTCTACACTGCTGTGTTACAGACACGGACGGGACTGTTGTTGGAGAAACACATGTCCCACACAAGCATCTTGCGTACCCCCATCTCGTCCTTGTTCCCTCGGCATGGCGCAAGGTTTGCTTGCCCTCCCTACACGTGTGACTGTATCTGGCCCTCTTTCTTGCCGTCTGTCTGTTCTGCCATCAATGCTATCGCAGTTCCTTGCCACGACGAACGGGTGGCATCATGCGACCAAATGCTAACGCCGTACTCTTGTGGTTGTTTCGTCCTTGTATCTGCTGTCTGGCGGATGGGTTTCCAATGTTGCAGCGTGATGGCCCCGTGAGCCTCGCCGTGGATGGGCTGGCCTTGGTTTACCACATCATGCAAAACGCCGGGGTGCATGATCTTCGCCTGGAACTGGGGTGGGTTTTGTCAGAGGGATGTTTTGAAACTCAAGAAAAAGTTCCATGTTCTCCACTCGCGAAGGGTAAGAAATGCGGCGTTGTTGTTATTTTTGCTGGATCTCGGCAATACCGACAACGGTGCTCCACCTACTCCAGGGTTGCTAGGTATCTTTCAGCTGCGCAATGCACAAAAAACTTGGCGAATTTGATTGTCAACGTGTTTCTCAAGGTGCGATTACCGAGCCCTTCATGATGCACTGCTGGGCTACATGTCGGCCCTCACGAAAGCCGGAGTTTCGCTGTTGGTCATTGTGGACGGTATGCAGGACTACGATAAGGAAGCCACCACCCTGGAAAGGCGTCGCTCGCAGGTACGGTGCCCCCCGCCTCCCCGTTAATTTTTTTGCTTTGTTGTACAAAAAGCCCCCCCCCTGTGCACCGGTTTGTTGGCTGCGACGGGCTCGTGTGCTGTTTGTCCTCGGCATGCGTAGAGCACCGATACTTGAAGGCGGCGTGATTTGGTCGACCTCTGTCTTCCGGGTGTTCGTATAATATCCGGTCGCCCCGGTGGTCTAGTTGGTATCCTCGAAACCTTCTGGAGGTCAGGTCAGGGGCTCGAATCCCGGCATGAGTGAGCTTTTCTTGCAGTGTGAGTTCTTCTCTCGCTTCCGCTCCTGGCCTAGTGGATAGCGCTAGTTCGTGTGTACACAGAGGGAAGAGAGTGCTGAACTCTTCTCGCATTAAAAATCGAAGGCAAAGTTCCGCAGGAGGGTAGGGTAGAGAGGGGCCCTCCTGTGTGCCCACGCGTTGGAGTGAACGTCAGTAGTGCTGTGAACGCTGATTGGAAGTGAAGACTGCTATTGCAGTTTCGCTACTCCAGTCTGCTTGTTCTGTGGTACGGTTCCACAGGCAGCAGACGCTTCCGAAGTGATGGTTCTCATGCAGCCCGGGGGGGAAGGGACCGATGCCACCTTTCTCCAGCAGCACTGCTCCTCGCTACTCCCGCTTTTCGCTGTGGAAACCCTTGCGGCGGCGTGCATCTCCGCCGGGGTCTCCATAAGGTCAGACCAACATCTAAGGTAGTATCGCTGGGTCGTTTTCGTGAGCTGTAGGCTAACTAGTTGATTGTGTTTCCTCCGCCTCTCCGACCAATGTGCACCCGCTTGTGCTTTTGGCGCGGTGTGATGAGGGAAGCGTGCACACGCTGGTGGGGCCGCGAAAGTTGTAGCGGAGACTCCCTTGTGGCTAACGTATCACCGGAGTTGGCGCCTGGTGCGGTTAAGATGTATGCTCGCAAGGGTAATTTTTTTCCGTCGGGAACAGTCGGAAGGACGCACAGTCTTTCCCCACAGGTCTTCCTCTCGTACTGACAAATTCGCCCCAAGTGCAGAGGAGACAAGAATCTTAAACTGAGACTACCACATTGCGCAGAAAAGCGTTCGCTTCGAAGCAGCAGATTGCAGCAGCCGTCGTTCTCGCTTCGCACAGGCTATTGCCCTTCCCACCGCGAACGGCCTCGCAGCACATGCATACCTTTTTTTTGTCGAACCTCGCTTTTTTTCGTTTTTAGGTGAAACGGCCCTTTCTAAATACTCCTTCGTGTGTCAGGTCGGCTGACAGAGAAGCAGATCCCGAGCTGGCTGCAGCTTGTCAGGGCAATGCCAGGAGTGTGGACAGTGGTCGAAGGAGGCATCGATGCCCGGCGTTAGACGACGCCGGAGGAGGCGTTGGCGTGGAGGGAGGGTGTGACGCGGTGCTGTCGAACGATAGCGATTTCTTGGTGATGGACATCCCCGGGTACGAGAACGTGTGGGTGGAGAGACAAGCAGGCAGAACGCGAGGGCGCGCGAGAGACAGAGAGACGCTGGTCGAGGATGTTCGGTGTAGGCGGAGCAGTTTGTTGTCCCCTTGCCGTACCTGCTTTTCGCTCTTGTTTTTGCAAGTGCCCATCTTTCGGCCTTCTCAAACTCAGCCCCTTCTATCGCAAGCTACGCCCAGTCCCGTTTCCTCTATAAGAACCTGCACACTCTTAACATTGCAAGCCCAGCATCGAACGTTTTCCTACCCTCACGCCGGCGTTTCCCTCCCCATTTTCCTGTTTGCGTCCTTGAAAATCGCGAGGCAGCTACATCCCTTTCTGGTCGCTAGGAGTGGGAGCCGACGGGTCAGCGGGCGCGCTCGTCTTTCGTCGGACCCTGGTGGCAGGTAAACACGTTTTTGCGGCGTCTTCTTTGATCCTCAAGAAATTGCCCTTGTTTCTTGAGTCGCACTTTTATTGGCTTGTGGGAGATGTGCTTCAATGCGTCCTGAAACCGATGTCATTACTTATGGGAAGTAATGCTTCAACGCGTCCTGAAACCGATGCCTTGTTATTGTTTGACATTGGACAGCGTGAAAGATTGTTTTTCCGCCCGCTTGGGGGAGTTGTTTTTTCCTTTTTGTTTCCTGCCGATGCACAACCCAGTTTTTATTTGTCTCTCTTAACATTTCGTGGCAAATAACTCGCGTGATGTGGCGTGGGATCGTTTATTCCATCCTTTGGTGTTGGCGGCTCTCTCCCACCGTTGTCGTTTCCGTCCTCGCTGCGTACCCCCGCGTCTCAATCGTGACAGCGAGGCTGGGGATACCGGCTGATTGGATGCCCGACCTGGCGTGCCTCGTGGGGAACGACTGGATACAGCCAGAGAATCACGTCCACAGGCGAGGGCAGCTCGTTTGCCAACCCCCCCCCCGCGTTTCTCCTCTTTAGGACGAAGGGGTTTAGTTTTATGCGTAATCATTGTTACTCCGGGTCACAGGCAGCACCAGGATGGAAGCGATGGTCGGCTTTCTCGCCCTGCGGGGCCACGAGAGTTACATCACGTGCCTTGTTCTCCGTCGTTTGGAGATTTTCCCAGTCGTTTATCTCCGGCTATGTCACACTGGTATATGGAAGAGAGGCTGCTTTCGGCGGGCTTCCTGCGGGGGCTCCGTAGGTTGAGGCGAGGTTGCCTCTGATGCGTTGTCCTCCGCACCTGGGACGTTAGTGACATCGCCTCCAGCGCCTTCTCGCCACTCTGTAGGTGCTATCGGAGTTTAAGGGGGATTCGTTGTTGGGTTTGGTTTCTTCGCGGCTCCTTGACAGTGCTGATGCTGTACGTAAGGACGAGTTTCACGGGGGCATCACGCAATACTGATTAGAAAATCGGCATCCTTGTCATTTGTCGGCAGTACAGCGATGTTGGATTCATAGAACTGCCCGACCACCCTCCATCGTTTTGTCTATCGCCTATCGGTTTGGTCAGGGTCATCATGCAGTCCGCGGCCACCAGCGCCGGGTGCAACAGCGGCCACGAGCGGAAACGGAAAGGGACGGCGGCACACAACGCGGGGGCATTAGCGTCATCATCAGCTCCGTGGAGAAGGGGCGGCAACGGCAACGGTAGCAGCAGCAGCAACGGCCTAACCGGCGCCGCGTCAGCCAAGCATCTCGTCGAAGCGACCGCCCGGTACCTCTCCGAATTCCTCCGCCACAACAAAGTCCCTCGGGATCGATGCGGCGTAAATGATGCCGTTTCGCCCAGCCAAGTTGATCCAGCAACAGGCGGTGATGACAGAGGCCGCCTTCTCGCGGGTGAAGCGGACCAATCGATGACCCGCGAGCTGTGCGCTCGCTTTTTCCCAGCCCTGACGGCCGGCCGAAGTGGTGGCGTGTCTGGTGCCGAGGGGGCACACGGACAGGACGAAGAGTCACCTCAAACCGGCTTGGCTGGGACGTCGTCCACCAAGAGCGCCGGCCACCGTGCCCCCAAGCAACAGCGCGCTAGTAGGGCAAAAAAGGGTAAGGGACACAAGAACAAGCGGCCAAGCGGCAACGACCGCGGCGGCGGTAGCACGACCGGTTGCGGAAGCCGGGGTGGACAGCGGGACGCCGGGATGGGCGAGGAAGACGCCGCGCGGGGGGGAATCGACGCCGTGGGGGAGGAAGAAGACGGGGAATCGTTTCTACGGGAATTTCTTGCGGCCCGGCTACACTACGAGGTGCGAAGAGACAGACGAGGCAATTATGTGAGGTGGTGCATGTCTCCTCGGCAAGCATCCCCCAACGTTCTGTTGGTTGTCCGGCGCCACGAACACATTCCGGTCACCTTCACTATTTTGTCTCCTTCCGTTCGTTTTGCCATTCCGGTCGTTGTCCCCACGTTGGTTTGGGCGGGTGAAAGTGTGTAGACCCTTTTGAACGAGCCAGTCTGATTCTTTGGGGGGGAATGATGTGTGTCGGGCTTAATAGCGTCATGCTTGCACGACTCAGATGCCGAATCGAGCTTCAGCACAGCAACATGTAGAATCGGCGGAATCGCTGTCTGGAGATGGTGGGGTCGCCCGAAGGTTGAAAGATTGTCCATAGGAATTTCATTTGGACCACGAGGAAGCAGTAGAGTCTGATCAGCGTAAACACACGAAGCAAAGCATCAGCAATGCCAGTGGTCCAGCTACACCCTCAGCGTATTTATCTGTTTGAAGTGTCTCCTTTCTTTCTACCAATGAGTGGCTTTCGACATGGTACATTTGTGGCGGCACAAAAAAACACAGCGACCAACCCAGCACCAACATTTTGACACACTCACGTGTTCATTCCAATGCAGCTATCTTTCATCAATGGGCGGTAGGCGATACATGTGGGTGCAGCACGGCCGTGTACCAATCGTACGCTGTCCGGTCTAGGGTAACGCCAACATGAGATGAAGTCCCCGTTTGATATTTCCGTTCTCCGTGTGATCGGCTTCGCACGCGGGAGCCACTTCCCGCTGTTTTCCCCGCTGGCAAAAGTCCAATCGTTTCATGTTTTGTTTTCCTGTTGACCGATCGCATTCCCTAACCCCCCTCCTCCCCTCGGTGTTTGTCATCGGGGTTGGGTTTTCGTCGCTTGGCAACGGCGTTGTAAAACAAGCCGCCCCCCCCCGGTGTTTGCCATCGGAGTTGGGTTTTCGTCGCTTGGTAACGACGTTGTAAAACAAGCCCCCCCCCTCGGTGTTTTCCATCGGGATTGGGTTTTCGTCGCTTGGCAACGACGTTGTACAACAAGCCAATTCACTTCGTGAACTCGGCAACCAGGTTACCGTTTTTTCTTTACCTCTGTTTTTTTTTGGCGGTTACCATAATGGTGGTCGAGTAGATCATGTTGTGCGGGGTGGAGAACCCTCACTCCGCGCAAGGGGGATGATCGCACCACGTTGTGTTAAAATGGTCACGCATCCTCGAGGCAGTTGCACAGTGCTTCAAAGTGTCTCTGGAAGTGAAACACCAGAAAATAAATGAAGTAATACGCAGCTGTCATCCGTATGCAAGGAAGTAAGCACAAGATGCCNCCTGGTCCGGTGAGAACCCGGCGTGCTCCGTCCCGGCTTTGTAGGGATGCGAGGTCAATGGTCTAACGACTACGGCATGCACGACTATGAGTAACCCCCCCCCCCTGGGCCATCTGGGTGGTAGGTAGGTTATTCGGCAGGGCCTCTATCTGAGTGCCACTTTTGAAGGCTGAATTAGGCCATGGCTTAGAAGACACAGGCATGCGCCTGAACGCCCTCTCATCCCTCTACATGCCCCTAAACGTATCTAAGTCTGGCTTCACGTGTTTGTAACGTTTTCGTTTTCGCGATACCCAGGTCCCACCTTTGTGTGCCGCGGGCGAGGACCAGGCGGAAGACGAGACGCTATCGCACCCTTTAGCGACCACAGGTTTGGCGGCGACGGTTTCGGGGGGGGGGCTGGTGCTGTCGAGGGTGGGGCTGCGCGCAGGGATCTGGGCCCCGCCGGAAATCGCGCAGGCCGTTTTGGAAGGCGTTTTCTGGTGCAGGTGATTCTGGTTGTTGTTGTTGTTGTTGTTTTTGTTGGTGCTGTCACGTTGTTTTCTTCACTTTTTGGTATGGAATCGGCCTACGCGAAACCAGAACCAACCCCTGGCACCCTCGTCCTTCACATTTCGTTGTGATTGCTCTTTGGGCTAATGTCACGTCTCAATATGTTGTCTTTCGTGTTCTATTGTTTTTCTCGAAGGATGATGCTAGAGGACAGCGTCGCCCTCGAGAACGCTGTCATCGAACCCGCAGCCGACTACACAGAGCCGACGCGCCCAACCGGTACTGATTCCACCCCGTCGGGCACGGCAGCATCCCACTCGTCCGCTTTTGCGAGCTTTTCCGGCGTGCGCAAGGGCATTTATGAAGTGTGTCTGGCACAGTTGGTCGGTGTTCGGACTGCAGGCTGTTTTTCCTGGGCCGCTACTCAAGACGACCATTCTCGAGATCGTTCCATGGTTGTGGCCACGGAAGGGCTCCTGAACGATTCCGCGGGAAATTCAGCGCAAAGCGCCGTTCTAAGCTTCCGGGAACGTTGCGCCGCATTCGCCTCCGGAGGCTCCGCGGTGCCGAGAAGAGAACCACAAACGACAGCAGCGTCATTGCCAAAAGCATCCACAGCGTCAATACAAGCTCCAGCACCGGCATCACCGCCAGCACCAGCGGCGACACCATCACCACCGCCGCAAGCGGTAGCGGCAGCAGCGGCAGAACCGCTGGGGAGCCGCCAGATTGTAGCCGGTGGTAGTGACAAGCAGCGCCGGCGTGGAGACAAGCCACGGCGGTTCAACGGGAACGACGCTTTGGGGCCACGGGCAGCGGCGGTGGTAGGACGGCGGCGGCATGACCTACCTCCCGGTCGTGTGACAAGGGAGGGTGACGAGTTTGTGGTTCGTGAGTTCCGCCGGGTGGGGACGGGCGTGAAGACCTTCAGGGTCGTCTGCAAAGTGAGATGAGAAAGCTCTCGTGGGCAAGTAACTAGGATGTGGATGCAGCGATCCGTCCACAAGCGACAAAGATTATCGACCTCCCCGTCAGTTTTCTGCTCGACAGGCGGGCCACAAGGGTAGCTGAACCAAGCGTGGCGCTTTCCCCTTCTTCAGAGTACGATGCGAAACGCCGGCCGTGATGCGGCATCGTTTTGTCCTGGGCAGGCTGGTGCCAAATATCTCTGCTCCAACTTTCACTCACTAATGAGGAATGGCCAAGATGTCAGCAGTACATGCGACTGGTTAACGGCACATCCCCGTGTCTCCAAAGGAGCCAGTAGCGGCAAACGTCTCGTGTTGGTGGGCGGCCTACACCACCACTTCCAGCTGATCCCGGTAGTTGAGGGCCCTTCCTTTGGAGGTCGTGTCACGCCAACAAAGAAGGCATCCCATAGCAGTGTTCTGAACGGAGATACACCAGCATCACCCAGGCGTGCTCGGCGTGGCGCTTCTCGCGGCAATGACGTTACGACAAAAAATCGCCCTTAACCCACCTCCTGCGGATACTGTGGAGTACTGTGATATTCTTTGCCCCAACACACCTCCTGGGCGTACTGCTGTGCAGGACTGTGAGGAACTTCTCCTTGCGGCACACCAGAATTTTCGACCAACCGCCCCCTGTGCCGTGGTCCACCTTCGTGATATTTCAGGCTCCCGCCTCGCTGCGGCTGTCCGCTAGCACGAGCCTGCCGATGCGGTGGAACCTGTGTCTCTCCACGCTAGGCCTCGCCCGGCGAGATAACCGGCTTCTCACCGCGCTCATGGACTCAGAGGTGCGCCCCTCCCACTGAGACTTCACACTCGTGGTGTAATTTATGCGACTACCGCGGAGGTGAAGCGGAAATGGTTTGTAACAATTTCGTTTTTTGTTCTCACCAGGTGTTGTTCGTGCGGTGTCTCTGGCTTTTGATCAGCTCGGCCGTTTCTTCCGTCTCGATTTGTTTCGGCTCCTACCCTTTCTCTTTGCCCATGTTTTTGCCAGTTCTGATGCTTTATCGTGTCGACGATACAAGCGTTGACTGGAAGACTACCCCTCGCATTGTTTTCTTTAGTAGGTTCTTGATGCTTTTCTTTTACATGTGCATTTCCTACCACTTGTTTGAGGGCGGTGCTCTCGGTTGAATCGAATCGGACCCAGGTGTGGATGGAGCCGGCCGGCATGCTGTACTGGTGGTTGCTTAGCTCTTGCGGTTCCCTCCCTGCCAAGCTGTTGTTTTCATCTCTGTTGCCCACACTCTGATAACCCGGGCACGGGATTCCCCCCGTCGACCTGTTCCTTCTTGTCGTTTTGTGTGATCTTTGCTATCGTAATATACGTTCAGCTCGACTTTTCTACGCAACGCCTTTTACGATCACTCTAGATTCAGAATCATCGCAACCTTGACATGCTTGGACCAGTGTCTTGCCCCTCCACGTATCCATCCGCATGATGCTGCGGGGGCCCCCACATCCAGGTGCGCGGGAAGCCGAGAATGGCGAGCAGCAGCGGTCAAACCTGCAGTAGAACTGACTCGGACGGAACAGAAGTTGGCCAAGGAGGCAACCGTGCTGGCCGTACTCCGATCCGGTTGACCGCCGTAGCTCTTGTAGCGGCTCTACTACTCTCCGGCAACACCTCCACGCTAAGTTCGTCGGGACGAGGAGAGGAGACAAGCGCGGCGGCGAAAGCCTCTTTATCTCTCGGGAGTTCGTGGCGAGCAATCGATGTCTCTGCTGGCGGCAATGGAGTGGGCAGTGGCCGAGAAGGTGAGAGTGCGATCGTTGTGGCGTTCGTGACCACCGTTACTCGGTGCTTCTGTGGCGGCGGCGGCGGCGGCGGCATTGGCTGTCATGGCCCTACCCTCTCCACCGCGGCATCAAACACCGAACGAGGAATTGACACAAAAAAAGCCCGTACCCCGAGGCAACCCGGAGGAGTGGATAACGTGGGCACGAGCGCAGCACCGGCAGCCGCAGCACCGCCTTTACACAGCAGCCGAAGTTGCGGGTGGTGTCCACAAGCACTAGATGGGCAAGGAGAGGAAGGCGTTAGTGGCAGTCCCAAGGGTGCTCAAGAGGCGAGAACGTTTGTTAACCTGTGGAGCAAGGCGCAATCGGCGGCGTGGCACGTCAATGCTTGCCTCGCCGCGCTCAGGCTGATAGATGATAAGGGTGGTGGTGGTGGTGGTGGTAGTAACCGTTGCGAAGGTGGACGGTATATTGCCCCCCTGGACTCTCTGAGCTTGCGGCCAGCGCTAGCGTTCACAATTTTCCGGCAGCAGACTCGCGGTCAGCCCGTTCCAGGACAACAGGGACAGAGCCAGCAACCTACGTCGAGAAGCTGCCAACAGCAGCAGCAGCAGCAGCAGCAGCAGGAGCAGCAGCAGCGAAGCGCTGTGGCAGCTGCCGCTGTAGGCGTAGACGACGGTGACGGCCGGCAGCAGCCACCGCGGCAAGAAGCGGGGACGCGCTCTTCACTAGGCGGTAAAGAAGGCGCGAAGAATTCGCTGCCGATTGGTTCGAACAGCAGCCCCGGAACAAGAGCACCTCCCGTACACCGAAGGATATCTCCGAACGACGACCCGGCGGAGAAGTCGCCCCGGAAGGGGGCCCCGCACCGTGGACCTATCTTCGAAGGGGATACCACGACGTTGCCCGGAGAGTCACAGCCTGAACAAACATGCTGCGTCCACACTCCGATTGGGGGGAGCTGCGGTTGGACGCGGCGAGTTGAGGTCGTTTTGGACGCGGCCGGTTTCGTGGGGTAGTAGTGTGGAAGTGGCACTAGCCTCTTATGTTTCTGTGAATGGTATCCTATCCTGTGGTATGTAAGTTATGTTCCAAAGGCTAATGGTGTTCCCAAGGCTGGCTTGCGGCTGCGAAAGCTGACAACAGAATCATTGGTCCGTTGGCAGTATCGGCGAACAGTGGCATGGAATCACGTATCTATGAATCGGAGGCTTCGTGTGAACCGATAGCTGGCAAATGTCCACAGAGGCGCATGCCCACGAGGGGAACCTCGAACCGTCTTGCTGCACGTGGGTGCCTGCAGTCTTTGTCGGAACACGAATCGGAAAGCGGAAGAGGTGCTGCCACTTTTGCAAAGGATGTTTTTTCGGACTCTGCAGCGGCTCAAACCAGGCGAGAGATGCCGTAGTCGCGCCTGAAACTGGAAGCGTCACGGCTTGCCCACATTATGACTGAGATTCTTCAGCTGCCCCTCTTCGCTGACCAAAGGAGTGGAGCGATAGTACAATTTCCACAAAAGCATCGCCTTACGGATGCAAATCCTCCAGCGGGGGGCGCCATTCGGGTCTGTACGTCACCCGACGTATTTGTCAAAGGTACGTCTTGCTCGTGGGGTGTTGGTGCGATGGTGCCGTGATGGGGTGGGGGTGGGGGGGAGTTGGGCAACGGGTTCCATCCGGCACATATCACGCCACTCGGGTCGCCGCTTCTCGTTTGCTTTCTTCACTCGCTGTATCGTCCGCCTGTTGCCCCCCCTATGGCCATGTGCCTGTGCTATTGCTGGGCTTGTCGTTGGGAAGCTCGTTGTCGGTTAGCCTCCTATTCATCCTTCCTTATGACAGGAGGCCATGAACCTCTAAACTTCCCTGCAGTATCCCAGTATTCCACGTTGCACCCCGCTCCACTTCGCTGCTTCCATTGGTTGATTGCGGGACTCCGAAAACACATTGTAGGAGCAAGTAATCCATCGCGCCAGTGGAATTTTTGGTGTTTTTTATTCTACCGGCCTAGTAAAGGCGTAATTCTTTAGACTGCGTGCAATTCTACGTAGACTAGACTGCATCCTACTGCTGTGGGCTATCTCCGAAAAGAGGATCTGACCTCATCATCCTCTTCGGTACCACAGCTTTGGTCCCACCCCTCGAAGTTTATCATTCAATCCAGATCCGCCGGTTTCTCTTTGCACCGTACATTACCTCGCCTTCCTCCGTTGTTCGGAACATCTGCTGCTTACGTGAGAGCACTCTAGGGTCGCTGTGCCGTGCCGTGCCGTGCCGTGCCATCTGGATTACGTCTTTTGCCACTGCAAGGTGGGGGACAATGTGCTGCAGAGCGCTCCGGCGGTGTGTCTGTGGCATGCATGTGTGTGTGTATTGTCATCAGCGTGTCTAAATCCCCCCCCCGGGGGGGATTCTCCGAAACCCCCGGGGTGGGGTTAGTGTCTCAATACCCCCCCGGCTGTATCTCTGCCCACAAGGCACCAATCGAGGCAGGACATGCACGACGGTGTTGCTCTGTTGTAGGGCTATCGCGAGGTCCATCGTACAGCCGAAACGGTTCAGGGTTGGTGCAGCCATGGCTGATGGGCAAAATATATCTGTTGCCCCAACCTGCCCGCCCCCGCCCCCCACGGACCCCGATTTTCGATTAGTGGGCCTATGTGCCTTGAAGTATTTTTCACGTTGACCCTTGAGTACACCCATTTTCTTTTTGGGGAGTTTTTTTGGGGGGGGGCGTACGAAGCGACCACCCCCCCAAAACAAACTCATCCTAAGTCCTATATTTACCATTTTATTCTACAGTAATTACTACCATATGGAAAAGGGGCACCGTATGGTCTAGGGGGGCCGTGGGGCATCTGCGTGCCCCTTGGCCTGTGCACTGCGAGTTGCGAGTGTGGTGGGCCCTCGCGCGTCTGTACGGTGTGTTTGCGTACCATGGAGAGCATAATGAGAGCATCCTCAGGGGAGGGGTATGCCTAGGCCAGGCGCATTTTTGACAGGAAGATTGGCTGCAGCGACTGTATACAAAGACAAGCGGCAGGGACGGTGGTTTGGAGTGGATTTGCTCCTGGGGCAAGGATTCGACGATGGTTCCCATCCGGCGGGGCTCTAGCGGCTGGAGACGGATGTTCCCGCAGCATTTATTGTCGATGGGAACGAACGTCGACTGTTGAGAGTTGGCGCGAAAGCCCTGTTGCAACACATGGCCGGACATATCCTTGAAGAGGGTGTACGTACGTGTCCATGTTCGATTTGTTGAATGTTTTACAGGTGAGCGGTCCAAGGCATTTTCACAAGATATTTTTTGCAACACCATGTCATGTAGACTATTAGACGTGAACGACAGCGTTGATGTTGGTTAGTCCATGAAAATCCAATGATTCAATATACATACATCTCTTTAGTTGCTATCTCGTCAATCCAATGCTTGTCTCGACGTTGCTGTTGCTTGCTAAATGAAGGACCTGCGCAAGGGTGACACATGCGGCTTTTGTGGAGAGGGCCGATGCAAGACGCGGGTTGTGAAGCCCAAGCTGCACCGCAGATATATTCGACCTGTATGCTCGCGCCATTGGCGGACTGGCGAAGTACTGTCGCCGGAACAGGCCGGAAGACGGCGGGAAGAAACTCCTCTCACCCGCGCACGGAAACAATCTGTCATCGGCTTTCCATCTTCTTCGCCGTCTTCATTTTTAGTTATCTTTTCACCGTCGTCGTCGATTAATCTCGCTTGCGATTCGGGGGCCGTTCGGTACCCTGTGTAGTACATTAGAGGTTGGTACTCGATGCCTTGCTCCCGTTGCGATGGCATACGTAGCAGGAACAAATCATCAGTGTTGGAAGTTTGACGACATCCCAGACTCGCGCTGTGGTCATGAATAATACTAAATAAATCCCCTTTTTTCCCGGAGAAAGACGTACTCCCTGCTGGAATACGTTGCTGCTGTGCACAAGCGACCCCACATGTGCGTGTGTTATTATTACTTCAGTAGCACGACCGCGATGACCGGCTGACCATCTGAAAAGACGTCATGTGTGTGTGCGGGGGATTAGTCTCTAACCCCCCCCCCGGCTGTATCTTTGCCCAGAAGGAACCAATCGAGGCAGGACATGCACGATTGCGTTGCTCTGTTGTGGGCTATCGCGAGATCCGTCGTACAGCCGGAACAGTTCAGGGTTGGTGCAGCCATAGCTCATGGGCAAAATATATCTGTTGCCCCAACCTGCCCCTCGGGGGGGGATTAGTCTCTACCCCCCCCCCGGCTGTATCTCTGCCCATAAGGCACCAATCGAGGCAGGACATGCACGACTGTGTTGCTCTGTTGTGGGCTATCGCGAGATCCATCGTGCAGCCGAAACGGTTCAGGTTTGGTGCAGCCATGGCTGATGGGCAAAATACATCTGTTGCCTCAACCTGCCCCCCCGGGGGGGGGATAGTCTTCTAAATACTGTACCCCCCTGGCTGTATCTCTGCCCAACAGGCCCGCTGTTGCGTGGGAATATGTTCGAGCGTCTGTGTTCAGACAGAATGTACTGAAACGGCCAGTATGAAAAACGGCATCTATTGAAGACCGACTTGCACGTCGCAGGGACGACCGGGAGGTAACACGTTCGTGGCGGCGAATACGTTCATCACCTATCTAGATTATCTCTCGAATTGTGTCCGTTTCGTTGTCGTTTGCAGTTGTTTGCGATTGTTTGCTTTTGTGTTTTTGGCGAGCAAGCGACCGCGCTAACCGGCTGACCAATGAAAAGACGTTAGTCTCAGCGAAGTTGAAAAGCGCCGCGTGTGTGCGTGTGTCTGGTGTTGCGTCTGACGGTTCCACCACGCCCCAAGACTGGCGAAAACCAGACGACTGTCGTGTGGCTTAAGACGCGTGATACCTTTCAACAACCGATCGTTGAGCTGGGTTTGGCCATGACCGGCTGCTGGAGGTGTGTACTGTGGACCATATGAACAACTGCGGTTTACGTGGACTAGGTGAAGATTCATTGTCAATAATTGGACTATTTGTCCGTTGGTCCGTGCCACCACGCGCGCATGGTGCTGTTGAAGAATTGTCATTCCCACCATCGCGGCCAATTCTATATTGTTGTGCGGCTGTCTACTTTCCATCGATCAATTCAAGGCGTCGGATTCGGGGAAATATAGTCTGAAAGTGTATGTCGCACAATACAATGGATTTTCATGTACACGTGGAAAAAGTATCCGGAAAAAGAACTTCATGCCAAAGTAACAGCAGTTTCTAGTGAAACACGACGGATGTAAATTAGACTGACAACACGGTCTACGCAGTTGAAATTGGTTATATTGGTAATGCCTGTCTGGGCGTGTTTCCCATGCTGTGCAGTTGTCACCGCGCCAGCAGGCGACGCACGCAAACCAAATCAAGGCGAGTTGGAATGAATGTAAGGGAGGAATACTCCCAACGTCCGTCACCTGCCTCACTAGTAGGTGGTCGGATAGTTGCTCCACACTGCCCAATATACACCACGTTGAACGCACGCCGATTCTGAACTTTCAAGGATGCTTATTTATGTATCTCTCGTAGGTCTATTCACTATGCATACGTCCCATCATCAGATTCGCCTGCGCCAACTCACTACACTCGAAGACCGAATAGACTACCCGGTTGTAGCAGTCCCTTCACCCATGAAATCAAGTCTCTCATGCAGCCAGGCGTGCATTGAGCTACCTTCACCACAAACGTCCGAAAGCTCTGGGGGAAACCACAGAAGTCTTCTCAGAATACTCGTACTCGAGAGAACATCCAAATAGATCTGCCTCTCGTTAGAGGAACGTCGAAATTCATTACCTCTCTTTGATTCTCACCGCAGGTATTAAGTTCAAAAGAAAAGTAATCGCGAACTTGAAAAGCGGAATGACTCCATTACCATACGATCGTCGCGACACATGAATGTTCCTCGTTTGCTCCGCGACAAGCATGATCGACGCACAACACCAACGAGTACGTCCCACTACAGTAGGTAGCTTAGCTTTCTCCCCACGCTACAGTCGCTACAGTAATGTGTTTAAGTTTTCCCCAAAATCTCGTGCAAGTCGATAACAAACAGGAAATCAAACGAGGCCATATCGCGAAAAAATAGTCCACTCTTCTTCCGTGTTTCTCGATATTGTCATCTCCAAATTTAAGGGTCCGAACCACTCGAGGTATCCGCGATCGTCGTAGACGCACCAGCGGCGGCAGCCACGTGCTCCACAGCACCACAGGTGCCCTCGTTCCCTCCACCTCCTCCTCCTCCTCCTCCATCAACAGGCGAGACAGCCCACAGAGCGCCGGGGGGTACTTCCGCCACGAGCCCCCCGGAGAATTGCCACTTCACCTTGTTCGGAAGCTCCCAGACCAGGTACACCCTGCCCCCTGCGGGGAAAGATAGCTCGGGGGGGGCGGTGGCCGTGATGGTGACGCCACCGTCGGCCCTCTCCTCAAAAGTCCACGGAAAATCATTTCCGTTCGTGGCGACGTTGAGCCCGAGCTCTCCCCTCTGATCCACCATGTCGTCACAGGACGGTACATGCTGTTCTCCGTGGCCGCCAGACTTAGAGGCGGGAGAGGACTCGTTCTTTGTCTTCGGGGCGAAGATTGGGGCCAGCTGGGCCAGCACCTGGAGGGGGCCGAGGCTAGGGGCGAGAATTGCACTGGTCTTGGACTTGACGGAGTCATCTTCTTTGGAGGACGACCTGGAACATAGACAAATGAACAAAACCAATGGAGACAAATGGGGGGCGACGGTATGTCGGTGAGGGAGGCAAGGAGACGGGAGTGAACGGTGTTGATCGAGCAGCGAGTTCATGGGGCTACAAAATAAGCTAGAGGAGGTTTCATGCTACGTCCGTGGTGTTCCGCGTGCTGGAAGGCGTATCAGTCACCACGACGTACCTGAGAAACCATTTGTCGCCCTCTGCGGTAAGGACCACGCTCCGGTCGGCCTGGGCCACAAACCGTTCCCGGGGTAGGGCGAACTCCTTCGTGAAGAGAGATATCTTCACCTGCTCCAGGGCATCGTTCACAGGCTCAACCTGCACGCGTAGAATGTGCATGGTATTGTGGTGGTCATTGCGGGTGCTCTTCCGTGTGGTATACCTTCACCTGTTTCGGAGGATCGTTAATCGGCTCAACCTTCACGTGTGATACAGGAAATGGCCTTTGATAGGGATTCATTGTTGTGGGCGCTTCAGTGCAAGAGAAAGCATCCCCAGTGAAGCCGTGTTTCTATACTTCGTCCCCGTTGTTCCGAGGCCTTGGCCGTGTTCAACCACGTGTGGGTTTGGGGCGAACTCCCGCGTTTTGTGGTCGTTCAATATTTTATGTTCTCCATGTCCTGCACATGACGGTACCGGGGACGATAAGACCGCGCCAGGAAGCGCTCGACCCCACAGAATCCCAACTATGTAATATCTTAGTCGTCAGCTGAACCACACTTTTGTAGGGGGCTTCTGCGAATGGTGCGTTGCTTTCTGTGCTGGAGGATAAGTGTCAGATCAATGGTTTGGAGTTGAAGTCGAAACAGCCACACAATTCTGCACCGTGTTCAAGTCGGTCCGCACGTGCTTCTCACTACCGTGAATATTTATTTCAACAAGTTTTATTTGCACGGGTTTTAGGCAGTTACATCGGGGTCTTCGTCGTGATTCATCGAGTAAGCTGTTGGAAGAAGAGGTTCGGGAGTCTCTGCGCCAGTCTCTCTTCCTCCTTCAGGCGTCAGTACAGCACGGTTGATACGGAAAACTCTGAATGGTGCTTGGACACGTAACACCGTCCTCGTCTGGGCCAACCTTTTGTAAAACCCAGCGGGCGTTGCTGGGAACTGCAGGAACGATGCCGCCGCTCCACACCCACTTCACTTCGGTGGCTTCCCAAACGAGGAAGATCTTCCCGCCGGCGGGCAGGACCACACCGTCCGAGATGCTTTGTTCGCGAGCCGTAATAGTGAAGCCGCTGGAGTCTTCGTTGTCGAACCTCCAGGGAAAACGTTCGCCCTCGAGCGACAGCCGAACCTCGCCGCTGAGCTGATTGGCCGAACACACACAGGTAGGCAGACAGGGAAAAGGGCTTGGTTTCTTTGCGTTGTGGGAGCGGAGCTACTACCATCGAACCACGTTGGTTTGGGATTCATTTCGCACATCACGATGTTGCTGCCGGCAGTCCGCTGAGTGAAGATGCCTCGAGAAAAATGTCAGAAGAGAGACCTATAGTCCAGAATACTGCCCGATCATTGGAGCTCGCTAGTGCACCACTTTTGTCTTCCGAAACCCCAGAAGGTGGTGTAAAGCTGGAACAAACACGCCACACACTCTTGATATTTTCATTGTATCTCCCAAGTATGTTCGTTGTTATGTGTTTGCGTCCTCTTCATTGATCATTTTCGAAATTGTTTTGCCATGACTCACATCGCCGCAGCCAGGCTTGAACACGGGGGCGAGCCCGGCCAGTGCCTGGAGCATTCCCAGCCTGATGATTATTGAACCAATGGCGCGTAGCAGGAACGTTTTAAAGGGACAAGATGGCGATCGTGCATTCGCCCGTCGGCGCGTTGTGTTTGAGGTCTTGCACGAAAAGGAATAATATTCACTACTCCTGTCGATTTCCGTGCCAGATAAAATGGAAACCTCGTTTTATTTACATTGCGGTTGAGGTCACACATTGAACCGCATTGACATAGGCACTTGTCTCAATGAATTGTTTCTTCTGCGACCAAGAAGCAGTTGGTAAAAGAGGGGTCGTGAACCAGATTCCAAAAGGTGCGTTCACCTGTCGGCAAGCAGGCAAGCAAGGCGAAGAACACATGGTGCTGAGTAGCTTTGGTTTGACCTAATGTAGCTCGAGGTCGAGGACCGAGCTCTTGTGTGCATACACACAGTCACATTTCACACCTCGTCGTTCTACCCGCCATTCACAAGATCGAGTGAGTACATTTTCATCCATCTACCATCCACAAGAACGAGGAAAACCTGGAAAAATCGTGTCGAGTGTTGACAATAGGGGGTACAGTTCATGTTTTTAGGCCACGAGGCTGAGATGTTGCCATGAAGCTTGGTCTCGAGCATGGTTTCCGGACGAAATGACGGCGCATCTACCCGTCCATTTGGCAACATGTACACATACCGGGGAGCGATGATAGCTCGGTTGTCGCCACCTTCGGTGGTAAAAAGATTTTCCAGGAACCAGTCATCCCCCTGCCCCGCGAGAATCACCTGACCACAAACAAAGCGCACGTCAAAATCGACGTCAAGTACAAGCAATCGTTCGTTCAGAGGTTGACGCACTCATTCAATGGCACGCGGGATTACACATCAGGATAAAACATGGTGCGACATTCACACACGATTCACTCGTAAGTGGGTGCTCTGATCGGCCAAGGACGACCTCACCTTTCCTTCCGTGCCCTGGGCTAGCTGGTTGGGGAATTGCTTAGAAAGCGTGGATATCTTGAACTGCTCCATGTCGCGAGAAATTCTTGGGCGTCCTGAAAAAGTTATGTGTTCGGGTTGTCAAGTTATGTACACTGTGTGTCAGGTATCCATCTCCAAAGAGGGGAGATTTTCTGTGTCAACAATAGCAACGACAGTTTCTTGTATTCGATAATGGCTGACCATTTGACTACATGCAAAGTCATCGATGACTGTGAATGTAGTCAAATGGTCAGCCTTTGTGGAAAATACCTATTCAGCAGCTGCCGAGTGTACTACCGAGAGCGATATATTTTTTGTCGCATCGAATCCATCGCTATTCGTAGATATAGCGTCCAGCATAAATCAGCAAAAATCTAGAGCGTCAGCAGAGACCACCTGTGTTTTTCTCATCGCCCCCCAACATCCATCCAACCTATAGACAGCGGGTCCACAATATGTTACCAAATGAATCCATAGCGTGCTTTCGGGGCGCCAGGGACCAAGAACGGTATGCAAGCCGGAATGGTGACTGGCATGCACGGGGGTGTTGTATGTAGGCGATGCACTCTTCTTGCGGAGCAATCAAATCTATGGAGGGACTTGCTGCGTATATCCTTACTCGCTTGCGGCCCCAATGTTCCCTGTGGACAAATCGACGTTTGACGATATGGACAGTGGAGGACGGACACCGGACCTTATATTCATCGGGACGAACACTGCTCAGGATATCCGTGTGGCCACCTCCAATACTGTACCGATGTTCCGGGTGCTAACAACAACCTCTCAATTTGCTACGGCGTGGGGGCTGATCGCACCAGAACAAAATTACGAACTAAGCCGAGGAGGGCGTTAGGTGCGCGCACACACGTCGCGTATACGCTGGTCCTATAGCCCTTCCCTCCGTGGCTCACCTGTCCTTTGCTGCTACCTGGATAGTTTTGAAGCAGAGCTGTGCAGGGTGTGAATGAGGATTGGTTGGGTTGGGTGGGACTTGGCTTGGGCAGGACGGTAAATTGCGCACTTTTCCAGAACTAATTCCCCGCCTCCCTTCCTTTCTGCGCACATACTGCAAGGTCGTAGCGGGTGGCCCGCCGGACATACTTGGTGTGAAGAACGGTGCCATGCTCCTGTTGTACTGTACTGCTGTGGAGAGGCCACAATATGCAATGTGGTATCTTGCTGCTGCTATTCCGGGCCATGTGAAATTTCGAGGAACCCTGCGCACACCAATCTGTAGGTCTTTTCGCCGACTGGTCCGTTTCTGTGCACCGTTCCTGGGTTCCCCGTGCTGTTACCCATGTAATGTAACGGTTCCAGAAACAAGCGGTTCTGGAATCCGTGGACTGGTCTATCCCAAGCTTCTTGTCAACGACGGGGTCAAGCGTACCAATGTAGGAGCCAAATGATCGTTCCGTTCGGAACATTCCGCGGAGCGGAGAGAGGGGGTGTTTCTCCGTCTTCAACCGATATCCCCGCCAACTACGGTATGCATACATCGCGAGGGAAGGGATTGCTGTACCCTTCTCGCGATAAAAATATCTCAGGCAGGAACCCCAGGATGGGGTCCAACCCCCCCCTCCTATGTGACCCCGGTTGGGTCGTCTAGCTGGTAGAAGTGGAGGATAGGGGCCAGAGGGGCAAACGACAGAGTCCAACGATGGGAGAAAAAAAAAAAAAACGTATGAACGTGCGGATAGTCACATGGGTCAGGAACCGGGTTCGAGATAAGCCCGGTGCGACAAATGGCGGCCGAAAGAGTGTTCAAGGCCCGAATGAGGCTAACAACAACGAGTAGTGCAGTCGTTACAAGAGACGCATTTTGCTTTGTGGGTCTTGTGTGAAACCGATACCGTCGTCGCTGGCTCCGTGTCAGATTCCGAAAAAGCAACTCTGCAGGTAGCCTCTTTAGACGCTATCTAGGAACTATTCACCTCTGCAATGCCGTTTGCATTGTGAAACTAGTTGGGTGGGACTGTATGCGTAGTATCGGCAGATGAGCTTTGACGGCGACCGTTAGAACTTGGGCACCCCCTCAGTTGAGAGCGCTTTGGCATCAAAACGCCGAAATCAACGCGCGTGTGCAGCCCGTCAGCGCGGGTGACTGTTCACTTGGAGGCTGAGACAAGGTTGCACGTGTTCTGCAACAACCACTCTGTCGGCGTCGGACGTCTTGCGGTATTGAAAAACATGTTTTCACGAAAAAACATTGAGCAGTACCTCTTACGCTGCTGGAAGCTCTGGGCCGAAACAACGCATTCGTTCATAGCACCTCCATGGCGGCAAATTGACGTATCACCCCACAATCGTTGTTGTGCCGTCAATGACCCCCCCCAAAACAGAATCAAACCAACTGGAACACAGCAGAAAAAGGTTTTCTCTAGAACGCGTACAATATCAACTCCGCTGTAAAGCCAAGGCGCGACCGCTGCCGCATGCCGAGGTTGCTTGAAGTTCACAGCAGCAATGTTCGAGGCCGGGAACAAGACCGCATCAGTGCTCTCAAACACAAGAGGCTCTCGAAGTGTGTAACTCCACGCTGAGACAGAGTTGCTGACAGGGACACTACAGCAGTAGCCATTGCAGCACAAAGGTCGACCTACGAAGTAGTCCACACGCTTGAAACGCTACAAGAACCAAATTTTGTTTCGGTCACAAGAGAGAAGGTCCTTCTGGCAACTTTGTTGTTGTTGTGCGCTTCGGGCGCCATGCTCCATTTTGGCGTGTTCGACTGCTGCTGTGTGAGAATCAAATGGTGCGAAACCAGCACACGCCATATATTCCAGTGAATCAAAAAGCAGACCGCGGAGGCCACGGGTCCCAAGCATTGCCTTGCCTTCAAAGCCAAAAACCATGACTTCGACCGAGGCACCCGCAAACAACTAACAGTGGCAGCAACCGTGCTGGTGGCTCGGTGCCACTGAAACCCGCTGTTTCGAAAGAAGGCGAACGAGACAGCCGCTCGCTCTGCTCCCTCTCTCTGCGGAAAGCACCACTACTGCGGCCTACGGCCAAAGACACCCATCCGAAGACACAAATTTCATGTTTCTCTTGTGACATCATCTGAAAACATCTCCATCTGGAAACAAAAATGTGAATACTTCTTGTGACATCCATCGGGAAACACAAATGTGATAAATATGTGACACTTCTTTCGCGATTCCCACACAGAAAAAAAACTTCATCTCAACACAGAAAAAAGCGGTACCATTTTTTTTTGTGATACCCAACGGAAAAAAACACGTGATATTTCTTGTGATAGCTTCTACTAAGCGGCATGTACAAGGGAAGATTCCAACACAAAAACCATATCTATTGATTTCATGTTGGGATACCGTACCACCAAGAAATGAGTCGCGTGCTTTACGAGGAGGTTTTCCCGTAGTGCTACATAGCGTCGTCGCGCTTGTAACCTCGTCCAAGCCGCCATAGACACGCACACCAACAACAAACAACACGACAAGATATTGTGGATTTTGTTTTTCCTTTTGAGCTCGTGAGCGGACAATGACGCCGATAAATAATCGCCGCTTGTCCTGAGAACTATATGGTAGTCGCCGCTTCTTCTGGCATCAGAGCGTCGTAAACCCCCGGGCAATTCTGTTATTGTGTCGTGCCGCCATCAGCAGCAGCCGCACATGTTGTCCAGGGGTCCGCTGCCGTCGGGCTTCATCCTCACCAGGAACCGAAGCCGGGGCTCCGCTCGCAGGCTCTCCATGAGAGGGTGCCATTTATGGAACAGCTGGTCCGTCTGAGAACGATAACATATATATATATATACATCCAACGCAGACATGGGAAAAAGACAGAGCGTTGGAGTGTTGTTTTTTGCGGTCGTTTCAGGAGTTCCATGCCCATCTTTGGGCACACGCCACGGCAAGCTCACTGCACGCAAGCTGGGGAAACGAACGTGCGCTTGAGCGCGTGAGTAAGCAGTTGGGGGGATTGGACGTACACGGCATCCTTGACAACACCAACGCGTCGCTACTGTCGAACCGTTCTGGGCAGACAACAGCTCCCAACAACGACACGAGCTTCGCTTGCGGCGAGCTACACAGCACATGAGACCACTGGGCTTGTGGTACGGGTGAACACCAACGATTTTATCCACCACTTACCCACCACAACAAAAAAGCTTTGCCTGCCTTACAGGAAGCACCGCAACATAGTCAAAGAGCAACAACATGGGGCAGACACCCTCTACAGCACACAAGCTTTGCCTGCGCTCCAGGAAGCGCGCAACAGAATCAAAAACCAAAAACGACGACGTGCGTAGCAACCTCTCCGACACACAACCTTTGCCCGTGTGGGAGGAAATGCACAACAGAGTCAGACAGCAACAACCAACTCCCCTCTCCCAACACGCAAGCTCCACCTCTGCTACAGGAAACGCGCAAGAGAGACACACCACGAGCACGGGACTTACAACACCCTCTACTGCAGCCATGCAAGGCAAAGAGCAAACCTACAACGACGGGAGGCAAGACACCCTGTAGCCACACAAGGCCAAGAGCCAAACCATAGCAACGAGTACACAGCACCCTCAACTGTAGCCATATACAGGTACAGTACCTGGAAGTAGGGTACTCGATGGTCGGGAACCTGCACATGGACCTGGAAAGAAGGGCTGATGGAGTGGAAGCTAAGGCCGTACACCTGCACGAACAACGCACGAAAACACCCCACAAAGACGGGGAGCGCCATCATCAACATCAACGGGTGGGGACGGAATCGATCGTTCAAGGAGAAAGAAGAATAGTAGCGCCACCATCAACAACAATTCAAAGAAAAAAAGAGGGAGAGGAGCGCCATCATCGACGGTAAGGGTTGGAACGTGATCATCAGTAGTTTTCAGGACGGAAGCGTTTCCTCAGAAACCTCCAGAGAGAGTCGACTAAAACTTGATAATACTTTTAGGTGTTTTGGTAAGACATGTTCATGTGAAAATCCTGTGTCAAAATCAAGACACACCGTTGTAGCTACGGGGATGGTGCCGGGAACGGTGCCTTGGCAGCTGATACTCACCGATTCTTGGAATAGCCCAACCTTTACGCACGCCTTCAAATCACGATAACTCGATACTAGTAACAACGCAAAAAAAAAATGAGGTCCCCGGTCTCAGTTTATTGTGCGGAACCCCGGCCAACACGCCAAACATCTACCGACGGGTGCAGACTGGAGCCAAAACAAATGGGACAACCCCAAAACACAGGCAACAACTACCACAGCGACGACCACAACAACGACAAACGGCAACAACAGCAGTTGACCAACGCACCTGACTGCAAGATCGCCCCCCGACGGTTTGAATCATGAGTCGGTGCAGCGGCAGGGCCGAGGCAGAGCCTGAAGATGCGGCGGGAATTTCCGCCGCCGCCGTCCGGGGGACAGGGGACGCGGCGTCGACAGACGCCTCGTTGTTCTCGACGGTCTCGGGCCGCAGCACCAGTCTGAACTTGAGGGTGTCTACCTCGTCATCGAAGGCATCTTCGTCTTCCACCTTAAAGGCGGGCAAGGTGTACGTAGGCACCATGGCCACCGGCCGAAAGAAGTGGACATAGAAATACGGGAAACGGACGGGACGAGAGAGGAGACAGACATCAGCGGGCAAAGCCAAGCTGCCTGAACGGGCCTAGAAAAATCCGCAACGAGCTTCAATGCGAATGTTAACACATTTTTCCTTTCTGAGAAAGTTGCGTGTTTAGCATCGACCGCGCCAACCGGTTGACCAATGAAAATACGACAGCCTTAGGTCGGCGAAACACAGAAACCACTCACAATGGTCAAGGCCAATCATGAACTTCGGTTCTGTCCGGGTCAAGTTGGACGACCCACAAACTCTTGAACCCGGGCGGCTACAAGGTAGGTTTTTGTCCGGGTTGAAGAGTTTGTGGGTCGTCCAACTTCCACTGGACGTCCGATTGTTGCGTGTACAACGCTCGGGTTGTTGGGCTTGCTTTCTGGATAGTTCAGCCGGTGATCAACACTGGAGAATGGCCAAGCACGATATACTCAGGCCCTAGACCTGATCGCCACTCAGAACAGCTCACATAAAGCAGCAACGGCAGCAGCAGCAGAAGCAGCAGCGACACGCTACATGCACAAACCAACACACAGCAACCACCACCACCAGCAGCAAGCAAGGGCCCCTGGCTGCTTGCTGCCATTTACTCATGCCCGCTCGCTCTTGCCTCGCACTCCATCTTGCACTTGCCTCGTACTCGATCTTGACCATCGCCGAGCTGGTGGACGAGTTCCCAGATTCGAAGAAGGTCCTCATCGTCTCCGGCCGCCAGGAAAACTCCACCACAAAATTCTTCGCCAGCGGGTCCGCCAACTGCTCCACCTGAGACCGTGGGGGCGGTGCACAATGACCGAGGCATGAAGGGATGAAGGAAGGAAGGAAGGAAGGAAGGAAGGAAGGAAGGAAGGAAGGAAGGAAGGAAGGAAGGAAGGAAGGAAGGAAGGAAGGAAGGAAGGAAGGAAGGAAGGAAGGAAGGAAGGAAGGAAGGAAGGAAGGAAGGAAGGAAGGAAGACCGCCAGAGGAGAAAACACACGGTCGGTGGAGGGGAAAGAGAGGGTCAGGCGAGAAAAGAAGGGGCAAGAAAAGATGTGAGAACGAAGGGAGAGGAAGGGATGAAGCAACTTCGTGTGTGAGAGAGAGAGGGAGAGAGAGAGAGAGAAGGAGAGGGCCTAGGCGAGAAAAATAACAGTAGGTGTATTGGGAGAAAAAACAAGCAACAACGTCGGAACATTCAAACGCGGAGGGATGGCGGTAGAACGAGCAGTCTCGTCGAAACACCACCACCAAGAACAACAACACGCGTTTCGTGTCCATCAAACTCCTGTTGCCGTGGTGCACTGGCAACAACGGGAATAGAAACCCGCACGTGTTGGGGTGGGACACTGCCATCACCACCCTGTTCCCATACACATAACGCTACCGCACTCAAGAACCTCTAGTTTTGGGCGGAGGCTGGGTTTATTAGCTCCCTCTTGTGCGCTGTGCTACAAACGACGGCCATATATGGGGGGTTCTAAACCGGGCTCACGAACGGCCCAAGTCAATTTCTTAACTTAACTGACAACTTGCTACGTGCGGGCCCTATCTGCACCTGCGGTGTGTGTGTGTGTGCGTGTGTGTGTGTGTGTGTGTTTGTCCTATTTATTACGGCGACAGTCCCCCCATTTTTCGTGGTGAGACGTGTACTACACTTTTCAGCGTATGTAAAATACTACACTTTTTCAGCGTATTTTTTCGTACAACTACAACCATCCAGGGTCACACAGGAGGGGGTAAACACCAGGGCTTTTTTCTTCTCTATATTTCTTTTCATGCCCCACCTTCCTCCTGCGGTGCGTGCTGAATTTTATTATAACGCGAGAAGGCTCCAGCCGTCCCTTTCCCTCGTCAACGGTGCTAACGTCGAAGTTTGGTACTCACGAGAGCTTTTTTAGCTATGTTTCGCTTTCACCCGCAAATTTCGTAAATTTTTCACCCCATGGGGCTTCGATTTCACGGCCTCTGCAACTAGCGGATTACGAGGATACCACTAGCCCACCGGTGGGTAAAGGTCGGCGAGAACAACGAATTTTCGCCGAACGCCCTGGAACACCCTCAGCGTTAGAAGCGACGGCCACGTCGCCAAGCCCATCCAGAAAAAAGAAAAAAAGAGACAATTCCGTCACACTGCAACTCGCAACAGAGTGGAATACGCCTCGCAAAGAGAATGCAAAGCTCCTGGTCGCGAACATGTTTTCCCGACATTGCTCACCTCGAGCCAAGTGATGCCGGCTGCTTCCACCTCCTGTGCGTTCTTGAACGAGATCCCGGTCCTGCCCTGGCCCATGGACGGGGTCATCTCGAGCTTGGCCGCTGCGCGAAAAATCGTCGGCAAGGAATCAATGATCATCAAGCGGGAAATAATGGTTTGGTGGTCTGGCTCTTGCATGTGCGTGTGCCGTCGGCGTACTTCTCTCCTTGTGCGTGGTGCCGTTAGATTGGATCGCATTTACGATTGGATGGCCCAAGTAGTACACTCCAAGAACGTCCCTCCGCAATGCGAAGAGCAGAGGACGGAGATACAGCTACCGAAGCAGCAACGCATGCAAAAAAACAAAAAAAAAATGGGCTGTGAACAAAAACTGTGCACATAAAAATTGCAAGGACCACTTCACGGTTCCAAACATATAAGAGCGCGTGGGCGAACCATTACCCTAGCCGACAAAAAAGAGCTTAATTCCTAGAACCGGGATAGGGGGAGGGCGTTGAGACACATGCCTATACCTGCAGCAGCCTCGGTCGTACACCTTCAACGCTGATATGAAGGGGTTTTATGCCGAGATGAATATCTACCAATGGCAGCAGCAGCAGCCTTGACGGTAGAACAAACCCAAGAACATGGCATGGGGAGGGGTCGAGATGAAAGCAGTATTTACCTGCAGCAGCCTTGGCATAACTTCTTGCGGTCGCGGCGGAGACTAGGGGGAGTAGGTAGAACTTGGGTGAGGAACGCCGCAACGACAGGTGGAAACCCGGCTGTGCCGACGAGCCCTCCTTCTCCTCTTCCGCCAGCAGCGACCGGTAGTGCTGAGAGGAAACAGACGCATAACCCGAACGAGACGTGCAGAAGGAATGACCCCCCCAAATAGACAAGGAATCAAAGCGTGTCGAAGGCACAGGCGATGCAAACGGAAAGGTTCAGAGAAAGAGATACGAAAAAAACAAAACAAGATAAGCGCCCCTGAGAACAGACAAGGATCAGGGCTTGTTAAAGGCACAGGCGATGCGAACGGAAGGTTTCAATGACTAACCAGCGTTAAGAAAAGGGGCAACCTATGCCAACCTTCACATAACGATTGCCCGGTTCAACGACAGCACGCGTCACACAAACCTTCAGACATGACCCCGAACAACTATCATGGTGGAGTGGAGTACTACCAACAACTTCAGAGGATCTGCCCCGGCCATCTGTACCACAGGACTGGCCGCACGCAAAGGCCGGAAGCGGGACAAGCTTATGAAGTCTCAATACGCCGAGTATGGAGCATGCATCTGTATCGGGACAGCAGGGGGGCGGCACACACGATACCGTGCAAGAGCCCAAGACGCAAAATACAAGCACACGTCGCGCTTCGAAAGCAAGAGAAGCGACCACGTAATCACAGAGCACATATGGTACGCTTGATCTGTCCAAACCTTGGATCAAACGCCAGATCAAAACGGACGCTCTTTTCTCTCTCTCCTTCCCCCCTCCCTCTCGCACGCACAAACACTCTATTTCACACAGGAGACAAGCAACGACACATACACCGACACCCTTCGAAAAAAAAATGTGTCGCTTGCGTACCTCAGCAGCGTGCCCCCCCTCCACCGCAGCGAGGAGACCGGAACACGCCTCCCCCACCCTCAAAACCTCGCCCGTCCCCAACCACAGCATCGCCGAGAAGAAGCCTACGGTGACTCTGGCCGCTAGACCCTCGAGTATGCTCTCCCCCGTAGCAACGGATGTCGCGGAATCATCAGAGGGAGGGGGGGGGGCTCCGCCCCCTCCTCTGAGTGTCGCTGCTACAGCGGCTGGAGAAGACGGCAACCTCATGGTGCCGCGTTTAGGAGCGACCGCCCTGTGATGGGTTGGTTGTTCGGTTGCAGGCAAACGGGGTACTTGCTTGTCATTCAACGCCATGAGTCTTGCCGAGACATAGACGGGTGAGCCCGTACTTTCCCACATCATTGATGGTGGTTGAGTGACGTACGGCGCTGACTCGCGCCTCTCGCTCCCTGTATCCCGGTGTGTCTTGGTTGGTTCGAGTTATCTCTCTCTCTGTCGCTCTGTCTCTCTGTCTCTCTGTCTCTCTCTCTCTCTCTCTCTCTCTCTCTCTCTCTCTCTCTCATTGCATGTGTGCCTCTCTCCCTCCCTCTCGCTCTCTCCTCCTCCTCCTCCTCCTCTTCCTTCGAACGGCGTTCTTGCGCGAGCAACCCGTGTGTCGACAAGCCGTTCACACCAAGGCCATCAGTAAAACGAAGAGCAGCTTACCAACAACCGACAACTTCACCGTGCAGTCGAATTGAAGCCCTCCTCTAGGAAGGCCCTGTCTAGCCTCTTCCCGATGAACACGATGCGGCACCCCCGATCCTCGCCATCGCCCCACCTCCCCGCCTCCCTCCTTCAGAGGGTAAGGACACACGCAAGCAGAAACGACACGAAACACGGCGGAGCAAGGAACACGCGTGACATGAGTTGCATGCGGGATGAACGTAACAAATGCTCCCACTCGATATTAACAATGGCCCTGAGTCAAACCTTCCTTCTCATCTCTGACGATAAGCACCCACCACCCACCACGATAGATAACCGTTCCGGAAGAGGTCATCACGTTGGCATGCAGGCGCGCGTGCCAAAACGCGGCGCTGCAGTGTGTCGTTGCTCACCACAGGCGCCGCGAGTGCGCCGAAACCACATACACCAGCGCCAACCGTGCTTCGCCGCGTGACCAGGCCTTCCAAATCGTCGACACACACACAGACCCCATCCCAACGGAATACCAGGAGGGGGCGGTGGGTCTGGCTGATAATCCCTGGCGTTCTTCCCACAAACAACTGCGGGAATCGTTGGGGGAAGGACGCACAGAACTACCAACCAGACTCAGCCTACCTCCCCTTGGCAAACCGATGGGATTGGTCTGTGGGTGATTACCATGTGGAAGGTCTGGCCAAGAACCGGAGCATTGCATGGTGCTGATGCGGGTGGCTTCGGGGCACTTTGTAGCAGGACCTGTGGTGACCAAGGACATAGGTCGCACTACGCCAAAGGGGCGGCGTTGATTTCATGGAGATGCGGTGGGCTCGGCGAATGGGGCGGGGTCTGCATTGGCCAACATGCGGTAGAAACAATGGATGATCCAGATTTAGGATTTGAGGCTACTAGGACCATGTTGCGCGACAAGGTGAGAATAATCAATCAAAGTCGATTGTCGTGTATCGCGCGTAGGGGGGCTATCATGTGTACTTACGTGAAGATGCGCATCTGCGGACATGTAGGGGTTTCGTGTATCAGAAGTTGTGCAACGGCGACCCCCTCCTCTGCTGTGCGTGGGCCAGTAGCGTGCCCTCTTCACTCGTTACTGACAAGGTCCTGAGTCAACCTTTCCTTCGGACCTCTGACGATAAGCACCCACAAACTACCCAGAGATTATCGTTCAAGAGGGTTCCACGCCTGGCCCTCAAATACAGCGTGCAAAACATCGCGAATCCCTCTCCTTCGCTCAAAAACGACCGACACAAAAAAAAAACGGAAAAAAAACACGAAACCCCACACCCGACCATCCAGGGACACATGATACCGTGGGCAAGCCCTGCAAAACAAAAGACTGGGTATATTTCGCATGGGTTGATAGTCTTTTCGGTGGTAGGTTGTACATTTCTTCCAAAAACGAAACAATACTCCCATACTCTTCGGCAAAAACAACTCTTCGACACTCGCCAAACCACCAAGCGGCTCGTGAAGCCGTCTGAGAGCACCACACACAAACAAAACATAACTCTTCGACAGGCACCAAAACCATTCAACGGACACACGAAACCGTCACCCATACACACAAAAAAAACTCTTCCCCGACACTCACGTCTCCATGACGTCCGACACGGCGTGAAACACGAGCTTCCTGTTGGACCCGGCCACCGCAAGAACCGCCTTCGAGCGAAAAAGAAGGCCCTTCTCGCGAGGGAGGAACGCCAGCGAGCGCACCCAGCGCGCGAAGGGGAGGGCCAAGACCTCCGTCGACTTCTTCACCAAGGAAAACGTGCCCACCTGAATCGATCGAAAAGGAGGCGTTGTTTTTTGTTTGTTCTCGATCCCGGGATGTTAGGACGATGACGACGACGACGGCGACGAAGACGACGAGACAACATACAAATAACAAACCCAAAACAACATACTGGAGTACAAAAAAAAAACACAATAAACAACTACGACATCTCAATGTGATCTACATGGGGGCACGCGGTGCGGTTGGTTAGGCGGAGGAGCAGGGCCTACCGGGAGTTCATGTTGCTCTTTGGAAAAGGGGTGATTCTCGGTGGGGGGACAGGTGGGGGTTATCGAGGCATGTGTATCGGCGCCGCGGTCGTAGAGGTCGAGAAGGGCATAGCTTTCGGCAACGCGGCAAGAGTCCGGTACCCTATCCGCTCCCCCCGACAAGCGTTACGACAGTTGGAGAGATACGTATCATGCCAAAAACAAATGAGCCAAAAAAACGTTTCTTTCCTTAGTCTTGGTCGAGTGAATGAAGAGAAGAAAAACAGGTCACGGCATCACTCGAAAAAAAAAAAAAAGCGAGCGTGTGCATGCAATCTCCACTTGTTGCTGCATGTCCACACCTGGCTGCTGTGGCGGGTGTCATGGCTGTGGCCTGTGTGATCGTGCTCCAGGTTGCACCCCTCTCCGTCCAACGTACCATCCGCGTGGCCGCCGTGATCGTGATCAACAGCGCATGGTTGAGGCCCTTTACAAGAAAATTCCAACAACAAATGCGGGGACTGCCAGGATTTGAACGGGGGAAAAGCGGTGTGTTGCATGTTCTTGTTTGAGGGAGTGGTACAGTATGCACACGGAAGATTCGTTATGGGCATTGACTTGGTCCCGAAGTTCGTTCCGACGAGGTTGGGTGGAGTTCACAAGATTTGTAGCGGGCCGAAGAAAGAGCAGCAGCAACAAAAAGAAGCACAACAGCAACAAAAACAACCAAAAACAGTAACAACAACACCGTAGCAACAACAACGACGACGAAAGCAACGCCGACAACCTCAAGGTAGTTTCCTTGTCGAGGAAGTCGTTCTTGCGTAGCAATGAACTACCCATGGTGTCGGCGCTAACACAAACGGGTCCCGTCAACAAGTACCCATGTGCGCTAAATACTACGTTACCCTTTTCGGCTACAGCGCCAAGTACACACGATTCGCGTCAGAAACAGGGCCCTCGGGCAAGCGCTTCCCGAACGCCCTACAAGACCTGCTCTGGACCACCTTGACGATAAATGAATCTAATGAGAAAATTCAACAGGGAGGGGGGGGTACGCAGACCATACCTCTAACCCTAACCCTAACCCAAGCATGCTTTATCCAACATTTGTAGAAAATCGACAAGGCTAGCCACCGAGGTGGCGCATACACGGACCGATTTCCATCCAGATTCGCACGCGCCAAGACTCATTGGTACGAGGGATTTCAACGACGATAAATTAGGTGGGGTGTGTAATTGTTTTTGTTTCGCGTACTTCTTGTCTTGAGGGTGCACTAACCTCTACCGCACCTTGTAGGGAGCACCCACCCTCCTCGCCACCGCAAGCGGAGTCACCGTGGTTGTGTTCGTGCTCATGTGCGTGGGAGTGCGAGTGGGCATGGTCGTGGGAATGCGGCTCTGGGTCCATCTCTGGCTCTTCTTCCGCCTCCCTGGGAACGGACCAAAAACGATCATGAAAACATGAGACAGAGGGGGGAAGGCGTTAGAGCGGGATGATGGATGCATCTAGGCCGCGATGCGGGGTCCTTGGGACTACCGTCGCATTTCCCGTGGAGTCAGTGTAAGACATCAAAACCGCATCACGAGGGCAACAACAACAACAACAACAACAACAACAACAACAACTACAATACAACAACAGAGAAGACATCGAGAGGATAACAACAAAAACAAGAGCAACGATGATGCCAACAACAACAGCAACAACAGCAACAACAGCAACAACAACAGAGAGGGACGTCACGAGGATAACAACACCAACAAGAGCAACGATGATGCCAACAACAACAGCAACAACAACAACAGCAACAACAGCAACAACAACAGAGAGGGACGTCACGAGGACAACAACACCAACAAGAGCAACGATGATGCCAACAACAACAGCAACAACAGCGACAACAGCAACCGCCGCGTAACCGCCACACGCACAACAGCAAAATCACGCGCCTCATGAGCCTGTCAAACGCTCCCAGCCCCTCGAGCTCTCTCGGATCGAGCTTCCCCCTACTGCATGACACCACACCGGCTGTGCCGTTCATGGACCGGATGCGCTGAAATACTTCCACAGCCGTCGACGCCGGCACCAGATCGACCTAAATCACGCCAGATCCCACAGCAGCAGCAGTGGCGTTTTGTGACGAACGAACGAGCAAGCTGAGGCACAATCGAGACCGCAAGACTCCGCAAATGGCAGCAGCAGCAGCAGCAGCAGAAGCGCTGGGCTTTGCGGAAAAACCGACACGAAACATACACACGCACAAACACGCCAATCATAGTGCATTGCACATTTCTTAAAACATATATTTGATTGTTGGTCTCCATCCAGGGATCTTGATATACCCGCTGGCACTGACGTCTTTTCGTTGGTCAGCGCGTTAGCGCCGTCGATGCTATCTAAGCAAAAAAAAAAATACACACACACACACACACATACACACCCGGTGCATTCCTTCCGAAACAATGGTCCTGTCCACGTGAAAACTTTGCAGATCACGCCACTTCCGAAAAAAAAAAACTCCTGCTCACAACACGTTTGTTTTTCCGTCAATGACAGTCCGAATCCAACACGCTGCCGTACCTTGTTCACCACAATCCTGTCCGAGAACATGATCTGCTGGAAGGCCTCGTCAATCTCCTCCTCCCCCTTCCCCCCCCCTTCCTCCCCCTCCCCCTCTTGGAGCCGAGGAAGGATGTTCTTGGCATCGACTAACGTTACTACCCCTTCCAGAGCGAAGGAGTTTGATATAGCCGGCGTCTGAACATTGGTGGCGGGGGCAAGGGGAACGCGGCCATGAACACACGCAACCGCAAACGAATGCAGAACAGGGCGGTGTCACCATCGCAAAAGGACGAGAGCGAACTTGGACAGACCCAAGATCGACAAACAACGCAACCGTAATTCGCGCATTGAGCAAGCCGCACATTGCATCAGTGGAGGCGTTATTTTTTTTCAGGAAATACCTTGAGCACTCTCCCTTCTTCCCCTCGCTCCTCGACAAGCTTTTGCTTCGACATGGGTTGTAGTGAAGGGGGGGGTCTTTCTGGCGAGCAGGGCTAGACTCACCCTCAAGGGATGACCGAAACCTTCTTGCTGCTGCGCATATCCGCCGCGAGGCATGCGCGTGGTGGTGTAGTTGGGTCGGCACTGATGGGGTCAGGC